CCATAAACATTGCAAACAGCAGCAAGCCAGAACCCAGGACACAGGAGTCCGACCGCCATAAACATTGCAAACAGCAGCAAGCCAGAACCCAGGACACAGGAGCCCGACCGCCGTAAACATTGCAAACAGCAGCAAACCAGAACCCAGGACACAGGAGTCCGACCGCCATAAACATTGCAAACAGGAGCAAACTAGAATCCAGGACACAGGAGTCCGACCGCCATAAACATTGCAAACAGCAGCAAACCAGAACCCCGGACACAGGAGTCCGACCGCCATAAACATTGCAAACAGCAGCAAGCCAGAACCCAGGACACAGGAGTCCGACCGCCATAAACATTGCAAACAGCAGCAAGGGTTTGGAGTATGGGGGTTTAGGTGTTTTTGGGTTTTGGGATCAGGGCATTTCAAGTTTAGGGGTTTAGGAATGCCTTCACTACGAAACTTGTCTGGAAAGACTTTGGATATACCAGGTAGGAAGATCGTGCAGCTTGATTGTAGCAATGGTCATTCCATGGGTGTACAGTTCTACGTTTGCACTGGGATGCCGTTTCCACTGGTCAGTGTTGCCGTTTGTTGTTGCAGGACTCTTGCACCGTAGGGGCCCGAGACTATCTTGAATTGATTGACACCGACTGTTATTCCGCATGCCGTGGTAGATGCGGCGAGATTGGCAACGAGTTGTTTGACTGATGTGTTGTCGGGAACGGAACCACAGCTTGGGGCATTGGGGGCTTTATGTGGGCGCCGGATTTGCATGACAGACAGCTCGTTTGACTATCTTCAGCAAATTGGTGGGCATAAAGAATGCTCATGGTTACATGTATGACGCGTGGAAAAAGACTGAGCCACAGCTGCAATTGATCCGACACGTCCAGACAGAGAATGGAAACGCTGGATCCTTGAATAGAAGATTCCAAGACTTCGCCAGCACAAATGTCACGTTTGACTGGCGAAGGAATAACATGCATGATGTACGAGGAGGGATCGACTGTTACTAACTATCAGGGATAGGAATTTCTTGACTTGGGCAAGCACCCGGCGCAGTGACCCGAAAGCATGGAAAGACTGAGTCGAGTTTAGATTGCGCCACAAGCCGCGGTTGAGGCATGTGAAGAAAAATGAGCCCAGACATTGCCTTTCGCAGATTGGCAAGCCTGAGACTAAAACAGCACTGCACGTGCCAAACTACCTGGGGGCAAGAAGGAAAAGCCAACTGGTTGACCTTCCTGGTTAAGACCTTTGACAGCCGTTTTTGTCCGAAACCATGAACTTTTCGGACCCTTCCCAAGCTATCTGGGTCTTCGCCGGTCAAACTATATTGTTTGTTTACATATATACATATAATATAGGCAAATATATTTTTTTTTGTCTTATATTCTATTTCATTATATTATATTGTTGTATGTTATGTTACATTATATTGTGTTGTAATATGTCATGTTGCCTTACAAGACAATCTGTCACATTTTATTATGCAATATTTTTCTATAATACACTACATTATGTTGTTTTGTTTTGTACTTTGATGAAGTCTAGTTGGGATCACCTCTCAGGAGCCCAAAGTCGGCATGCGATACAAGTGCCGCTCGGAGAGTTGCCAAGTTATGCCAATCCCTCCATGGGCTGCGTTACACACAGACTTTCTAAAACCCCTTAACTGAGGATACCTTAAATCATATAAGGGGTCCTACTACAGTTTAAGTGTTCTGAAGTTAAGGGAAATTGAAGGTTTGGGCACTTTTGCCTCAGGTTGGTGCTGCAGATGGTTGCGGGAAGTGCAGCGACACCACGCCCAAGGCGAGGTAATTTGCTGCGCGGTATCAAACATCTTTAACTCAGACGCCTGGACTGCGATGTTTTAGAGGACTTCAGCGATCTTGCAAGCACGGCGTGCAGCCGAGTTCGTGCAGAAATGGATCACTGGTCCCTAAGGATTGGGTCGAGTTGTACGGTGCGGGATCATCAGAGTTGTCGGATGTGGACGCCGAAGCACACGGACTGCCAAAGAGTCTTGGCTTGGGTTGGAGATGCTCAGTTCAGGTTTTTAGTTCTCACGGTTGTTGGAGATGAAGTTCCCGAAGTGCTACGCAAGATCCTACACCTCAAGGCAGCCACTCAACGATCGGAAGACATATCCTGTTGACAGCCTGTACGGCATAGGCTTGCAAGCAATCAGAAGTCGTATGTTTTGCGAAGTTATCGGCTTCATGCGTGCCCCAAGAGGATTTCTGACTGCATGAATGCCTGCTTAATATCCTCGACTGAGCATCATCACCGAGATTCGTTTAGGCTTACTGGGAGGGTCCGATGAAGAGGCAACAGTCCCCTGGTCTCGCGGTTGGGTTCCGTCGTCCGACGTTTTTCAGCATAAGGCCCGGGATTCGAAGATCAGGGGTTTAGGGTTTAGGGTTTAGGGATCATGTCAGACGTCGATCTTTTCGTGGTAATCAGCACGTACAAGCTGGTTGACCAAGGGAGCGGTTCCGCAATGAGCGCCCCAAGGGCTGGGGCCAAGGCCAAATCCGAATATCTGGCGGATTTGGTGGCGATTTCGATCGCAAAGCACCCGTCCACCCTCGGACAAAGAAGCCGTTGGGGGTCGGCTGCCGCTGGGAACGCCAGGCCCTGGATGGCATGGATTTTCCCGTGTATGCTTTTTTTATGCCCTGAGCCACGTGAAGCATAAGCTGTTAACACATTGGAAAACACGTTGGTTAAAGACGAACAATAAGAAGATATCTTCTCGGCAAGACATGAACCATTGTGAGTGACACTACAGTGTGCTCTCGTGCGCTTGCCATTGATGGCTTGGCCTATGCCGGCATTCAATCCAAAGGAAGTTTGCGTGGCATCATGAACACCGGAAGCTATAAGAGCTTTGTTATCAAGTCAGGTCCTTCCACAACATGTGCTCCTATGCACAGGAGCCGTAGAAGGCATCCAATCCAGCACGCCAGGCAGATTGTTTGAAGAGTGCTGAGCAGCCTACTGTCAACATTGTTACGATCTGTCTTGCGCTGGTAATTGGGCGCTGCAGATTTTGACCGCTAGGGCCTGTAGGGTTGGTGTCCGGGTGATGCAGTCTGCTTTCGGTGCAGGTTCAATTGTTTGGGGGATTCGTGAACCCTAAACCCTAAACCCTACACCCTAAACCCTAAACCCTTCAGTTTGAGCTCCCTGCTCTCCGGAGCGACTGCCTTCTCCCGTTGGAGTGATTGCATGTTGTGCACATGCTGCCAGAGGCAGCTGTCAGTTCGTAAGCACAACGCGACGTGCGCCAGACTAATGCTGCCTGTCCTGCCCGTTGTGCCCGTTTTTCTGCTAATGGCGTCTTTCTCACGGCTTCGTTTTGCGCGTTCTCGTGCGCCAATGAACATGAGTTCTCATATTCTGATTCAGCCACCAGTCGAGGTCGTCCACGGTTCCATGTTCGAGTTCCTTATTCTCTGTGTTTCTGTCAGGAAAGTAGCTTGCCGACCACATGATTCCAAAGGGGGCTCGCTTGCGTTTTCGGTTTTGGGTGTTAAGGTTTACATGCGTCGAAATAGCAGGATCAGGTCACGAATTCGCTCGACCGCTTCGCTGCAGTACAGCAGGCTCGCCGAACGAATGGTAGAAACATGATGCAGCTAATCACGTGCAGCTTTCTTTCCAGCAGTCTCCCTTGCTTCTGCATGTTTATGTTGAGTCATGCTAAAGGTTCCTCAAAACGCCAAGGTCGAGGTATTTCCCAGTCTTGGTAGCTGAGATTCTTCGCGCTTCTTGTGCATATCACGTGGCGCCCTTGGACAGGATGAGCTCAGGACAGCGTTGGTGCATCAATTCGGGGGGGGGGGGGGGG